TACCCTGTGTTTCTTCGCATCTCTTCTTTACCCATAGTTTATTTATTTCTCCCGTTAAGACGCTGTACAATATTAACCAATATCCTCTCATTTCCAGGAGACCGTCAGGCAAGAGATCCCGCGACTACGTCTCGAGGCAATGCACCTGCGTCAGGGGCTGGTGTTCGTGGCGGCAGGCATTCAAAACCCCCAGCTCGGGGTCAAGCCGTTTATGCGCTGCAGGCCCTGCTGGACGGTGTATGCCCGCGGAGTCCTTGTTGGGCTATTTTTGACGTGATTTTTCACGTAAGGAGATCTGCTGATGTACCAAATACATAACAAAGTGAGCCTCGTTGAAAGCGTTTTGGCTGGTATGGAAGAGAAACGTGCGCGGAACGGAAAGGGGGGAAATGGTTGGTACAAAATGGTTGGTAAGCGAGGGAAGGGGGACGGATTCACACCCAACAAGAGAGGAGAGAGAGAGGGGGAGAGAGATAAAGAGAGAGGAGAGAGAGAGAGAGAGAGAGAGAGAGAGAGAGAGAGAGAGAGAGAGAGAGAGAGAGAGAGAGAGAGAGAGAGAGAGAGAGAGAGAGAGAGAGGAGAGAAGGTAGCAACTAGCAGATTGGTGTCGGATGGAGAGAGCAGTTTGGTGTCGGGTGATGACCAGACAGAGGCCATCCCAGCCGCGAAAGATCACAGATGATGTAAACTGCACATGCACCATGCACATATTCCACAAAGCACCGTGTCTGTTCGGCCGGGTTTCGGCTCTCTGACGCTTGGATTACATACACTTCCCAGTTGGGGAGAGTTCGGCAAACAATCACGTGATTCCCGGGCTCCATCACTTGTGTACTGTTTGAGGGGCCGCCCGCCACCTAACCCTTCCCCTAGGTCACCTGCCGCCCGGTCACCCCTCTCCCAGGCCCTACCAAGGGCAGCTGGTGTTTGTCGGGACGGCCTCGCCCGACGCCGGCTATAGCGGCCATGTCCCCTCGCCTCCGACCGTCTCCGGCGCTGGAGACGGATCTCGTGCTCTGGTGCTAATGGCCGTTAGCAGTGAGCTGGGACGAGCCGGGGAGTTGGCAGCGGTCGGCGCGGCGGTGTTATGTGCCGGGCAGGCACAGGTGACCCTGACGGACCTCTGACGGACGCCGCTCGCCGGCCGTCCCACGGTACCCGCGCCGGCTTGACCCGGGTGACCGGGTCGTGGAGATGAAGGTTAGGATTGTAACAGTCGACTGGGAGATGGCGTTGATAAAAATACAAAATTGAGATCTGGGTATAAAAGTAGCAGCCACAATCGCGCAATTGTTTTATTTGTAATGAACTTTAGAAGTTCTTCCGTGCACATACTATCCAAACTTCGTCAGTTGTCAAGTCAGATCATTAACATTTTATTATGTTGTCATTTGTTCATGGGCGCCGACTGAGCCTCTTACTTCCTAAACCGACGAGAAGGCAAGCGCGATTTATAGTCACATTGAAGAAGTTTATTAGAGCATGGTGCGTCCGGAAAGCCCTAAAATATTAGGCTCACGCCTTAGGTCATTGCTAAAGGGGGCATTCCACGATAGATCGACCAAAGCCGTACACCCTTATATTTTATTTTTTGCTTAAAATTGGTCTAATGGGTTGTTATGGGCGGGAAAGCCAGCTGTGCCAAGGGTTTTTTTCTTCGAACAACGGTTTCCGAGATAAAGCCTCAGGCAATTCCTGGAGGTCACGCTGCAACCCTATGTTTGGCGGCTTATAACTCAGAAACTATTGGTTTTCTATGGTAAAAACTTTATATGGTTCAACTCGCAATCAACCAGCAAACGTTTTGGCTATCTCGGATTTTCGATTTTTGAAAATTTTGATCACGTGACATCTTGATCTTTTTTTCGAAGAGTGACCTTGATATTTTCCCAACTGAAAGTCGCAATTTTGTCTGATGACGATTAACCCGCGCCCCGTAGGGCTACCGGCGGACCCTACCACCCGTAGGGGGGGGGGCCGTTTCGGCCCCCCCCCCTAAGATCTCGGAAAGTTACCGGCCGATTTTCAAAATTCAAACGGCGTTCGATAGCCCCACCCGGGAACTACCTTGTGACCAAATTTCATTGACCTAGGTCAAACTGATGACGTCACTGGTCAGGTCAAAGGTCAGATTTTCACCGTTCACAGGCAATTCAAGAAATGTGCTGTGAAAGCGAGTAAATTGGTAATTTATTGAAAACCATCGATGGTACATTGTTCGTCAAACACATACTTTGCTATCTGAGGTCACTGATACCAGGTCAGGTCACAGCGAGGTCAGGTCACCGGGGGTCACAATATGAATGTGTCGTGTGATACATGTTTTATGGTCCATTTTACATGACAAATGCGATTATGTGGGTCAGGCAGCCTTTGGGGCCAGCCTAGGTCACGTTTTGGTGAAGGTCAGGTCAAGGTCAGGTCAAATTAGGTCAAATTTCAAAGTTGATATTTTTGCATAAAATGGGTATCGATTCGATGCAGCTCGTCACGGGGAGTCTAATGGTGGTCTTCGTTTTGCTCTACGAGTTCTAGAATTGCCAAAAATTGAGTTTGAAAATTTGACGTCATCATTTTTGAACAGTTTTTTCGCTATAACTTGGCCAAAAAACGAGGTATCGATCTGAAATTTGGTATGTAGATAGAAGACGGTAGGCACTATCACATATATTCCGGTTTTTTTCGAAACTCAAAAAACTTTTTGGATTTTTTGGCGAATATATCCAAAAAAATGCTTTTTTGATTTTTGGGGGTCAAAACTCAAAAATTTCAAAAATTCGAGATAGCAGTTTTGTAGCCCTGTCAATTCTACACCTTTTATGTCTTGATCATTTTTCTGTATCTTCAAAGCTGTAGTCCTGACAGGTCTTCTCGCAAAGGTCTTTTTTCGGTCGAAAATGACAGAACATGACGTCACTCTGACGTCATTTGTGGCCAACCTATCATAGCCTCTGGAAAAATTTTTGGTCACAATGTGTAAAATTGATGCCCGGAGGGGTCCTGAAAGTTTGGTGGCGATATCTCCAGCCGTTTAGGAGATATCGACCGAAAAGGACAGGGGGGGGGGGCCGTTTCGGCCCCCCCCCCTACGGGGCGCGGGTTAAAGCCTTATCAATTGTCATTCATATGCGACAATAAAAAAGTGGCTTTCGTCCTGCATCGACCTGAGATCAGGTCATTTTTTGGCCTGTCCTTTATAAGTCAATGGCAGAAATATCAGCTACCACCGAAACGCATCTGACCGGTTCAAATACTTTTGAATCATGTTGAGTTAGGCTATTATTGATGGCACTGGTGCAGCTTTGTATCAGTGACCCGCTGAAAGGTCATCCGAGGTCACGCGTTGAACACACAATAATTTTCCGTTTTTGGCTGTACCCTTTGATCTAATAAAGAAAGAGACGTAGAATAGGCACCAATCCGTTTGCTTTCGCCTAGCGCCAGTTCGTTTTGAATTTCGATACCGGTGACCTGAGGTCAGGTCAATTTCTTGACCACCCCATTATAAGTCAATTGGGGAAAAATCAGCTCCCTTATTTTTACACTAAAACGCGTCGGAATTGCCTAATATACCATGAGTGACTCCATATGCGACTAACTTTGACTACCTTTAGACCTTTTTTGCTCTTGGTCAACTGTGACGTTGCTCTTGGGTCATGTGACGTCATTAAAGGTCACCAAATGTTTTTTTGCTAATAACTCCTTACAGGTTTGAGATACAGCCGCGCGGATAGGCTCATTGTGTTCAGCTCGTCAAGGCCCATCGAATGATATATATGATGACCTTAAGGTCACGTGACCTAAGGTCAACTTTTGACCTTGACCTTTCGAGGTCAACATACACATGTTTCCATGCGGATCGAAGAGAGGATCACGATGGTGCTATTAGTTTGTTCCTAGCTGGGATACTTCGAAAGTTATTCGAGGAAAACTTCATATGTATATATGTGGTGCCGCCATTTAGACTTTCTTTTTACCCCTGTGACGTCATCTTTGATCTGACATGAAAATGACCTGAGTAAAAATTGTAGACCTTATCCATGTGTACCCTGTGCCGTTTACCGCTTGTCGCTATCTTGCTTTGTTCTTGAGATATCGCTGTCGCTCCCGCTCGTAATAATAGGAAGGTCATAAAAATGGCCTGACCTGAGGTCAACGCAGGCGAAAGCCACTTTTTTTATTATCGCATATGAATGACAATTGATAAGGCTTTAATCGTCATCAGACAAAATTGTGACTTTCAGTTGGGAAAATATCAAGGTCACTCTTCGAAAAAAAGGTCAAGATGTCACGTGATCAAAATTTTCAAAAATCGAAAATCCGAGATAGCCAAAACGTTTGTTGGTTGATTGCGAGTTGAACCATATCAAGTTTTACCATAGAAAACCAAAAGTTTCTGAGTTATAAGCCGCCAAACATAGGGTTGCAGCGTGACCTCCAGGAACTGCCCGAGGCTATATCTCGGAAACCGTTGTTCGAAGAAAAAAATCCTTGCCACAGCTGGGTTCCCCGCCCATCACAACCCATTAGACCAATTTTAAGCAAAAAATAAAATATGCGGGTGTAAATTTTAAGTTTTTTTGGTCGATCTATCGTGGAATGCCCCAAAGTTGTTCCAACGATGATCGGAATTTAGAGATATATGTAATCTATATGTATAATAGAGACATATCCTGTACGATAGCACATATCAAATCTGCTATCTTACAGGATCAAAACGCAGGCGATAAGAGAAGCCCGTGGGCCGTGGCCCCGTTTTGCTGGAGATCGGTGCTCGTAACTGTATTCTATACAACCGTGTAATGTCTGCACAGTTTACACTGTGCCAGGGCACAAGAACGCGTCTTACGTGTTGTTACAGCAATGGCTGGAGCACATCCGTGACATGCCATGTCTGTGCTATAGTGGCTGGAGCCTGGAGCACATCGGTGACGTGCTGTATTTACGAGTATGTTACAGTGGCTGGAGCACATCCGTGACGTGCCTTATTTGTGTTACAGTGGCTGGAGCACATCCGTGACGTGCCGTGCCTGCTGCGCCACCTCTGGCGGGAGGCGGTCAGTCCCGGAGGCGTGCTCCTCCTGCTACGTGTTCGGGTCGTCATGTGCTTCCTCATGGCGCTGGTGTACCTGGTGCTGCCGTTTGACCTGCTGCCGGAGGCCGTCTACGGCGCCATCGGCCTGCTGGACGACCTCTTCATAGTGGTGGCGATGCTCATGTATGTGGCGGTGCTGTACCGCTGGTATCTGGCCGCACCGGACTGACCAGTAAGACTGACCGTACTAGACTAACTGTACTGGGCTGATTGTACCGCGGTGCCGGACTGGCAGCACCGGACCGACCGTATCGGACTGGCCGTACCGAACTGACCGTACTAGACTGACTGACATACTGACGGTACCGGATCAGCTGTACTGTACTAGACTGGCGGCCTGCTAAACTGACCGTACTAGCCTGTCCGTACCGGACTGACCGTATGAGACTGACTATTATAATAAAGACTGAGCGTACCGTACTGACCGTACTAGACTGATCGTAATGCCTGTATCGGACTGACCGCACCGTATAACTGATTGTACCGTATAACTGATTGCACCGTATAACTGACTGCACCGTATAACTGATTGCACCGTATAACTGATTGCACCGTATAACTGATTGCACCGTATAACTGCTTGTATGTACCGTATAACTGATTGCACCGTATAACTGATTGTACCGTATAACTGACTGCACCGTATAACTGACTGTACCGTATAACTGACTGTACCGTATAACTGACTGCACCTGACTGACTGTACCGGAAAGATAGTATCGGATGCCGGATGGTCCGTTCCGTTCTAACCAATGACAAAGACCACATCCACTGAAACGTCTGGCTCCCTGGCCGTCAGTCTCTATACGAACGGCGGTGAAAGGCGATCCCTCATCCCAAAGTGTCAACGTCGGAGCTGGTAAAAACCGAGGGTTTCAGGGTGTGACTGTGCAGTGTCCGGCGAGTGGCGTGTTTTATCTACCGCTGGATATTGTTTTATTGAGCAGCACTTGCGAATATGTGACAGTTCCATTCTTGGCGTGTGGCAGCTGTGCTTTTTGTTGCACCATGTGTCAATATTGTACGTGCAATTGACTAAAGGGATGTCTCGGATCAATGGGAGGCAAACACAAGTGCCTGCTTGCCTCACAGCGAAGGCGGCTAGGCACAAATAAAGCCACGGAAAAGACCCAACCGCTTTGCTCGCCCTCGAGTCAATCATTTTAGATTGCCGTGTCCCGCTATTCATAAATTGATGGTCAGGACAACGACTTTCCACACCTATAGCATTTCCTGATTCATTTTTATTCTCATGCGGTGTTTGCTAAACGACGTTATTTCCGATAACAAATGAACAAAAGGCACGCATTAGTGTTCACATGACATTATGGCCACGTCTGATCGTTGCCCAAACGGTGAACATGTATTTAACCGTTTACCGAAACTCGCAGTCACATCTCGTTCGTTTATTTTAGTTCGATTGAATTGAGATTGGCTATTTTTAAAACGTTTTTATGACCATCTCATGGTTAAATGCCTTTTAGGCTAGCGTTCCATGGGACTTCAAATGCATGGACTGGACTGGGACCGGCGCACCGTCGACGACTGGGCTATAATTAAATCAATTGACCTCATAATACGGTAAAATCTCATAACACGGTAAAACAGAATTCAGCGTTGCTCGGACAAGCATATATCTGAGATTTCTTTTCTTTAGTACAAAGCAAGCGCTTTTGCTATTGGAACCGGCTAAGTCTGTCTCAAATAGAATAGTAGCTCGGCGGTACCGGGAGCCGGGCTCCGAGAAAGCTGTTTGGGTCAGCAGCGGTGGACCATAGAAAGGGACGCTTTACCCATTGGCGGCGCTAATGGACCCCATTTGGCTGTACAAACGCCCCGCTGACCAGCTCACATTCCGCAGCGGGATCATTAACACCCCTGGGTCGCACATATCAAAGGGTGCCGACGCGTGCGTCAGGAGGCTCGATGGCCGGCTTTGTGAGCAAACGTCTCTATGTGCTCTGTGGCAGAGGCTCCGGCACAGTTTTCAAAATAGGCGGTACGGCAGAACCCACCAATTACTGGCACTGAGGACCGTGTGAGACGGCTGCTCCACACCGGTGCCTGGAGACGCCTCTGCTGACCGGGGGAGCGGGACGCCCTGCGGCGGCCACGGGCGCATCAGCGACCGAGCGTGGAGCGGGAGGCGGGCTGCAGTTGGTGGAGGCGGGGCCGGCCGGGCGGTCCAGTGTCGGCGCGGGGACGCCGGTCGGCCCAGGGTAGCCATGCTGGCCGGAATCGTGGAGAAGACGGCAGCTGCAGAAGAGCACAACCTCGGCCCGAACGCCACTGAAGCCAACAACGAGGTTACGAGATGGACGAGCCCCGGCTGAATAGCAATCTAGACATCAGATGATCATACAGGTGCGTAGGATGGTCAGCGTACATTGGTCCACTAACGTCGAACGCATAGTTGGTAGCCTTGTGTCGAACTACTCTGTGCTAATTAGTGCTAATCGTGCTAATAGCTAATAGCTACTTAGCGCTAGGTAGCGACTATAGTCTGTTCCATATCAAGTTTGCAGTCGGAGTTGCTTCGGCTGATCGCTCCTCCGCTCAAGAATTTTCGTCTTAGTTAGATGTAAGTGAATCCTAATCTATAATCTAAGATTCGGAATCAGGAGAGCCCCTCCGATTTGGACCAAACTTGGTTAGTGGATAGTACGTAACGTCCTGATTACGATGCACCCAAAATCTAAGCTCGGCCCGCCATATTTACGAAGTTACGGATGTTTGATGTTCCTCATTAGGTACTTACATCTAACTTGACGACCGTGTTGGCAGAGGGGTCGGGTGACACTAAATGCTTACTTCGAAATCTAAGCTGTGTTGCGGCATCGCCGGTGAAAGCAGGGCGCCGGAGGGCATATTAGTCACGTGACATTTGGAACTTCTCCCGCTCCGAGGGCCTTCTATATGCCAAACGTCACGTGTAAATTTCACGAACCTTGATCAAATCGCCCCAGGCGCCCTGTTTTCACCGTCGTCCCACCCGAGGGGTCTAGTTGATCTCACCGAGGTCACAGAAGTTTAATGCATCAGCCTTTATTGCAATTTCAAAACCAAACTCAATGAACTTTCAATTGTGATTTTTCGTTTCAGCGATCTTTCGAGGTTCTCTTGCATCGCAGGAATGAAAAATGGCAGTTGAATAATGGGACGACGGTGAAAACAGGGCGCCTGGGGCGATTTGATCAAGGTTCGTGAAATTTACACGTGACGTTTGACATATAGAAGGCCCATGAAGAGGGAGAAGTTCCAAATGTCACGTGACTAAAATGCCCTCCGGCGCCCTGTTTTCACCGGCGTCCGAATAATGTCGACCATTTTTAGACAGATGCTGCGTCAATGCGACTTTTGATGGCGCGGACGCTGCCAACGCCGCGTGTTTTCGATCTTTCGTTTTCGCCTTGGTTTTCGCAAGTTTTTCGAATATTTTATAACTTTATGTCTGAATTTATGGTACTTTTGGAATGGAAGATTTGATTTATTAACAATATTTAAGGTATTACGATAAAAGAAATATGGATAGTAATTATCAGGCCAGGGTGATCAGGCAGGATTTTTGTTCATGGTTCAGTTTGTGTTGGGCTAAAACTGAACTTGAACTGGATCAGCTTTCAGCATAGCTTTAATCATGTTTTTTTTTCTGAGATTGCCACTGACGGAGGATGAGATACATTGTACAGTCCACAGCAGAAGTAATGTGGGGTTTCAGTCATGGGTATGTTCTGCTTCTGAAGCTTAAGAACGATTAGCCAGACTACAATGAAACTTTGAATGTAGCTTATATGTATCGCCACCCTTGCACAGTGGGCCACGCGCTTCAAAAAAGCGGAATTAAATCAATGAGCACAGCTGCGGTGCCAAAAATGATTCGTTACAGGGTAAAATATCATGCTAAAGCCGAATCCGATATCCATTTTCAAATTTGATTGGTTACGCTAGGTCACTGACGTATGATGTCATTATTTAATTTCTGCGCTGCACATATGCCTGGGACAGGCGGGCACTATGCCGCATTGGCCGCGCGATTGCAGTCTTTTCGTGGTTTCAAGCGTTCAAACATGTGATATGATGCTGGTCCCATGCTTTAGGGTGGGTGTAAAGGTCACCTGAAGGTCAGGTCAGGTCATTGACCTTCGATGACCTCGGTTCACTTTTTCGAGTTTTACATGTTTCTGGGCTAGTTTTTGGAGCTGAATTCGAATTTAGGAACCATTTGAACATTTACGAAGTAGTTTTGGTGCCTTCGTAACATGTTACGAAGCTGTCAGAGGCGGGTTGACACCTACTACGAATACCCGGCAGGACCCATACTGGTTGACCTGACCTGAGCTGACCCGACCTGGCCTAAATGCATGAAGACATCATCTGTGATCAAAACTAACATGATATTCGTGATCAGCATCCCGAAAAACCCCTTAGCAGCCACACTATACGACGTTCTAACAGGTCCCGACTTTCGGCCATTGACCTGAACTCAGAGGTCACCATTTGACCTATGACCTTAAAACCGGGTACCGTTGGCTTCGTCTCGTGACGACCTACACGATGGTTTTTTCCGCGAGGCTCTAGCTCAATTAGGGGCCAAACGCGAGGAGGGTCGCATCCTCCTGTGCCGTCGAGGGATGCAAAACGGCCTATGCCGGCGAGGGTTAAACCCTTATTTGTCCATTTCGCGCAAAAACGCGCAAAATATTTGCATTGGGCAGCAAGCTATACACCTTGAGGAAAGTTAGGCAGCAAATATCTTCGTGTTGCTCGGTGACGTTTTCTTTATAATATAAATTCATTGCGTCGTTGCACTACCACGGTTCCGAACAGGCACTGTAAACCCCACCGCTACTAGTAAGCATGAAATAGTTCCCGGGAACTTGAGTACGAGAAACATGCGCAGAAATACCGGCTGTTTTTTAAAGCTATTTTGTACGGAATAACTTTTATGATTTTACGCTGAGAGCTTTTGAATCGGGGGAACGGAAAATGGTACACAGCAGTCATTTCCATCTCCAGTCGGTAAGTCCTACTTTGCGACGTTATAGCATTATCTGCCTTGACATTGGGGAAAGGAAACTTGCTTATTCGGAAACTTTGGACATTTTTACAATACTCTATCCCATAATTACAGGAATTTCACCGAAGATGATTTTTGACTTGATTCCGCTTTTTGATGCGCCTGGCCCACTGTGCCTTGCAGCTGCAACTTTAGCTATTGACATCTTCTTTTCGATCACTCTGCATTAAACAATTGCCAGTCAAAGCCAACCGTTGAGATTGGTAAAACCCTACATTACTTTAGCGGTGGGCTGTACCTACTACCTGAATTAACTGTATTATTTTCAGAACCTGTACAAGTACCTAATCAGATTATTCCATTTCCTGCCCACACACTGTTGAACTGTCTTGAAATTTCAATTTGATTTTCAAACTCAATATTCCAAAATTTCATGTTTCAAACCATAGATTAAAATTTATAGAAGGAAGTTACCTAGCCTTTTGGAAGGTGTCAGTGTTGCATTTGGCAGTGATTACTCATATTACAGACCTTTATGGTTTACCTACCTATCAAAATTCAATTTTGTTTTTGTCCAAGTCGGAATCAATCTCCCCATTGCAAATAACATGCAAGTGTGTGAGAATACTGAAATGAAATACAGAGTATTTTGTTAAAGTAACAAACTTATGATATTCATACTGCCTCTATGCTTTACCTCATAGGCTGCGGAACAGGGAGGGCACTGTGGGGCACTGTGTCCGTGCCCCCCTTTGATTTTGGCATTTTAACATTAGTCCTATCTGGGTGTTGCATGGAAAGAATGGGACCAAAAGTCGGCAGTGCCCCCCTTAACCTTCGCCCCAGTGGGGGGGGGGCATATGTTACCACCCTGTCGCGTTTTTTGCGTGTGAATAAAAAAACCGCGGCGCGTAGCGCCGCGCCGCTTGGGGTAGCTTTTGGTACATCAATTTTGGACAATGTGTGAAATTTTTTACCCCAGGTCATGTCAGGTCAGGTCACCAGGTCAAGTTAACTGACCAAGCCTAAAAAAAGTTTGCAATCATGTCCAGCCTGCAGTGTTTGTCAGAAAGGTTTTAAACTGGGTGGATTGCATGCTGTTATGGGCGCCTACAATTTGTATATCTCGGATTTTTTATATCCGTGACCTAAGGTCAGGTCAGTGGCGTGACCTTTCCATTACAAGTCAATGGGGAAAAATGAAAATGCCTCTAGATCCGTGTGTACGCATCGGAACAGTCCAAATATTTCAGAATCAAAATGATTTAGTCCACTCGTGATGACCAAGGTGTCATTTTTGCTGATAGCCTCTAGACAGGTCATCCGAGGTCACTTGAGGCTACAAACAGTTTTTTGCCAATAACTCGCGATTGGAAAGAGATAGAACGCTGGGGATGGTCTCATTGTGTTTGTCTTGTTGAGACGCATCGACTGATATGCAACATGACCTTTTCCGGTCAGGTCATGACCTTGACCTGAGGTCAAATTTTCAAGTTGACCTTTCAAGGTCAAATTATAGTTCATTCGACGCGTCTCGGCGAGGGGAACACGATTCTGGCAATAGAAATGTCGTAGCGTTTTGTAGTCGAAAGTTATTGTCGAAAAACACTTTTCGTAAAAACAGCTATTTTTGGAGTTTTTGCCCTCTGGAGGCTAAACCGTTGACCTGAGGTCAATATTGATAATGACCTTTTCAAAAGAAGAGTTCAAAAGCTATCGATTGCTTTTCCATGCGTTTTTCTAGCTACCATAGTTCCTGAGATAGCGGCATGTTTTCTGAAAAATATAATGACAATTGGCAAATTTTGACCTTTGATGACATCTGGTGACCCCAATATTGCTCTAAGGTGAAAAATGACTGAAATACTTTCAAACGTACGCATTGAGAGCTATCGACTGCTTTTTACCGCGTCTTTCTAGCCCTCTTAGTTTTTGAGTTAGAGGTGGGTGGTAACATATGCCCCCCCCCCCCCACTAGGGCGAAGTTGGCTGATACCGCCACTGGGGCGCGGGTTAATTGAAGGTGTTCCGCCGCTACTGCTTCACCTATGCCAGCTCAAGCTGTGCTCAATGACACAAGGCTGCTCTTTTGATATTTGTGCCAGGAGCAGATGAAGTGTGGCAGAAGTACAACTTGATTGAAGCAACAAAAAAAAAAAAAAAAAAAATGATGATGATAAGACATTAGATGAAGCCCCTGAAAGACCAAAACCTAATTTAATTTGATCTAACATTGCAATGCCTACTGATCTACAACCTAATTACTTAACACCTACTTATCAATAACCAACAGCCTTCTTTTGTGCGACCTATTACATTATATATGTTACCTATTTTATTTTCATGCCTATTTTATTATATGCTTGCATGTGTGTATAATTGTATGTGATTTTATATGTTTGTCATGAAAGACACAACAATAGGTACATTTTTTGGTTGATTGATAGCAAGAGAACAGCTTACTTCACTATGCATTGTTTACTAAGCAATAAGCATGGCTGTTTTCATGTATAACTCTGAAGTCAAATACAAATTGTGCTAATTTGTTGTTGAAATACAATGCTAACTCTGATTTCAGCTAAAGGACAACCTAATACAAAGTGAGAAAGGCATATTTGAATTTAACTTTACACTTTCTGGTGCTGAAATGCTGGACAATGGGCTGTGCATTTTAAGTATTTAAAAACCATGAGTGCCCAAGGATGATAGATCAATAATTGTTTTTTGGTTCCTCTCATTCATAAGCTCTCCTTTGCTGATTTTCAGGCAATAATTGGTTGATGCTCATCCATTAAGTGAAACTGATTTTAAAATGATCACTGAAGAAGACTTCATAGTCAGGTTTTTCCAGGATGCAGTGATCAGGTATGCTTACTGACTGCTGCCTTAGTCTGGTTTGCTTTTCATTTTATTGAAACACTAATGGGCAGTTTTCAACCTTAAACATTCCTAAGTCTTCACTGCCATTAGATTTATAGTCACCGTGCCATTAGTGATATGCAAACTTCTTCAGCAAGCAATTAGTAGCTTCAGTCTGATACTTTTTAAGCATTATTTTTAAGGTGCCTATTGTCAAATTTTTGCTGCTGCATTCCAAGTTCTAGGTATGCGCTTTTAACATAGCAACATAATTGTTTCCATCTCATATCTGAACATGTCAATGAAAAGCATTAAGTGTTGTACCTATTTGTTTTGCACTTAATGAACACAAAAAATTAATGATATTAAATGATACCTAACAAGTATTTGCTCAGGTGAACGATTTCAATGTCTCTTCTTCACTCATTTGGTTATGATGCATACCTAACAAAGCAAATATGCTCAAACTGTGGTCATCAATCTCAAAACTAAGTCAATATCATTTAGTTGAATGTCACTTGTACGAGACCATGTGAAGTAGCTCAGCCAATCTCTCCTTGAAGCCCCAGTTAACAAAGTGAAATCTGACCATTTGACAAGAGTTATTCATCCCACAGGGGAAAGCTGAGCAGTTGCCAGTCGGCACCGCGGCGGAAGGACGATTCTCTGGCAGTGTCTCACCGGGAGCGGGGGAACGCCAGTTTCCGCTCCGGCCGGTTCGCGGCGGCGCTGCAGCAGTACGGCGAGGCGGCTCTGAATGCCGACAGCGCCGAGACGCTGAGTGGTGCGCTGGCCAACCGTTCGGCAGCTCTCCACCGCCTGCAGCGACACCAGGTGCGGACCGGGACGGCTTCACGCATTGCCCGTGCGTTTACCCGTCTGCGAATGATCTTTTGCATTTCCTACTTCCGTTTTTCTTTACTTCTAGACTTTATTCGTTTTTACTTATCAGCTGTTGCTTGGGCGAAACTGATGCTGAAAGGAGCTGATCTGCAATCCAGATTTTACCTTAATCCCATTTTTGTTACTTAAATTGAAAGCTTCATGCTTCAATATAATTTCGTCCTCGCTCAACTGTGTGCATGACTTCTGCACCTTGCCCTGCAGGACAGCCTCGATGACATCGCACACGCGCTCGAATCCGGCTACCCGGCGGACCGACACCACAAGCTGCACGTGCGGCGCGCCCGCTGCCTGCTAGCGCTGGGGAGGCTGGAGCAGTCCCGTGCCGCCCTGGCCCAATACCTGTCAGCTCTGGACAGCCTACGCCTGGGACCGTCCGCCAGAGGTCAGTGCGACAGCGTGAGCTGGGAGCTATATGTTCCATTGGTGCTATTATCATTGGTGCTTTTTTCACGAGATCCAAAAGGTCAGAGCCGCTAGGCTAGCCTTTTTTATTTTTTAATCAATTAACTTGTGAAAGTGCTTAACGCAAATGCTCCCCCAGAAACTTTCAAGCCCAAACATCAATGTTGTGTCTTTAGTGAGCCACTTTGCCCACTTTTGATGTCCTGCCTCGCAGAGAAGCTGACCGCGGAGGCGGACGCTCTATCGGCGGACATTGACCGGGCGGCGACCGGGGGCGGTCCGGACCGGTGTGTCGAGACCGGGGAGGACGAGAGCTCCACACCGCAGCCGGCGCTGGAGGGCGGCAACGGGCCGCTGGCCGGCGCCTCCAGCTGCCTGCAGCTCAGGTGAGGGGAATTAAACCCATTTCTTATCGAATCCTGTATTTTAATCATGTGAGAAATACCCGTATAGTTCATTGTTCCAAAACGTGTTTTTTTATTAATAAAACGATATTGCTGTCGATTTGTCAAGCTAGTTTTTAAGTACCGTGATTTCATTATTCAGCTTGCCATCTCATCATCTTGTGTTGAAGCTAACTCTCACTATCTGAGCCACTGAATGCGCTCCCGTACCGTTCCCGCCGCAGGCAGAGCGAGCGGAAGGGGCGGCACGTGGTGACAACTCGGCCTGTGGCCAAGGGTGCCGTGCTGTTTGCCGAGGAGCCGTACGTGTGTGTCCTGCTGCCGGAGCGGCGGCTGGACCACTGCCACCACTGCCTCCGACACACGCACGCTCTGCTACCGTGAGTACGGCGGGTCTGGGGGAACCGAGGTCGATGGGGCTGTATGTGGGGAGTCAGTGCGTCAGAGTGCATCCATTGACCATGAATGCATTCAGATATTGAATCCAGATCATAAAGTGTCTCTGGAGCTGAAATATCAATACGCACCAGCATTTTGTTTTCAATTTGATATAGTCCGGTAGTCATTGGTTCATAACGCTCCTGTAAGTAAGAGTGTCAGTGACTGCGTCTGGTTTATCTCCAACTGCGTATGACCGTGCTACAGATGCGCACGATGCCCGGACGTGGGTTTCTGCAGCGCCGCATGCCGGGACGCCGCCTGCGCCGTGTACCACGCGGCCGAGTGCGGCCACACCGCCTTTCTGGAAGCGTTCGGTATCGGACGGGCGGCCGTGCGCGTGCTGCTGACTGCCGGCTGGCAGCGGGTGCGGGCGCTGCGGACGCAGCTGGCAGCTGTCGGCAGCAGCTGCCGGGCTGACAGCTGCAGCTGCCACCGGCCCGAGGGGGACCGGTACCTGGCGGTGTTCCACCTGGTGCATCACCTGGCCGAGAGTCACACAGAGGACGCCTACCATTACGGACGGGTACGTGGGTGACGCAGTAGCGATGGAGTCTGGACTGGAGTGTCACAGTGGGTGCGCATCTGACGCAGATATCACCGGGTCCATTGCCGTTATAAGCTCGTTGACGATACTAGTGGTTAAGTACATAACGTGCGACTTGGCTGTCGGCGATGTTTCTTCTTTTTTTTTTCTTCTGATGATTTGCGATTATATCGACATTCATTGTCGAATATTTTTCGTCTTGCAAACGTCGCTGTGCTGTTGAGGCTTAGACTTGCTTTTCGATGTGTTCCTACTTCCTTGAATCTTGATCGGTGACCGTCCGTCCTTCCTCCCGGTAGGCAGCTGCTACTCTGGCCGTGTTCCTGGCGGAGCGGACGGCGTTTTTCGGCGCTGACGCCGGGTCGGCCGGTCCGCCGGACTGGGCGCTGCGCTGGACGGCGGCGCTGCTGCTGCGACACATCCTGCAGCTGGTGTGTAACGCGCACGCGCCCACCAAACTGGTGCCGCTGCCCAGCGATGGTGATGGTGACGGAGGGGTGGTGCAGCTCTCTGAACAGCGCATCGCCACGGCCATCTACCCGTCGGCCAGCTATATGAACCACAGCTGCGACCCGAGCATCATCAACAGGTAGGGGGATGGCCAGTGTTTACTTGTCGCGCGCGGCAGGTCTCTGGACAGTAGCATTGCGTGTGTTTAGCTGATCTCTGTCTCGCAGACAATGGATATCTCCTCTAGATACTCTGGTCAGAACTCGAATGTAGTACATTCGAGTGTACATAATATGCCTATATGTACTATATGCCTACTATGCAATGTTATCAATGCGGAGTGCAGAGCATTTATGGCCAGCAACGTCTCGTCCAGCGGTTTTCGATTATCTATTTATTGCCACGCTTACCACGACTGACCGACTGACCACACACCCGTCAGTGTGTAAGGATCCAAGTGTTTGCCACTGTACTGATGTCGCCCTCCTCTCCCCGTCAGTTTCTGGGGTAACACCCTGATCGTGCGCAGCATCAAGTCGCTCTCAGCTGGCGCCGAGGTGTACCACTGTTACGGACCCCACTATGCGCGCGGTGCGCCGGCGGAGCGGCGCCGACAGTTGCTGGAGCAGTACCACTTTATCTGCGACTGCGAGCACTGCACGCGGCCCGAGCTGGCGCACCACCTGGTGGGTAGAATCTGGCCTGGTTGGTTGGTGGTTCCGCACTCAGCTCTCGGCGTCGGACTGCAGACTGTGCCTGGCACCCCGCGCCCACTCAGCTTTTTTCAGTCGTAAGATTCGAGCTGAGGAGCACATCTCGGAGCTGTGATACTGCAATAAAAAAATAGTGCAAGGTTACTAAGGTATATGCCAATCTAGTTTGATGGCTTGGTCTAATAGCTGTCATTTACATATGCTTCATTTACCGAGCTACCACTGATTGCCGTAAGAGTTATCTGAGCACCTGTGTCTGTCTGTACAGGAGCGGCTGAACGCCCTCCGGTGTGTGGACTGCGGCGGAGCGACCCTGCCTGTTGGTGAGGCGAGTGTGGAGCGGCGCTGCTGCCTAGAGTGCCGCCGCACACACTGCTACAGCGACCGGCAGCAGCGGCTGCAGCGGATCGAGGCTGAGGCTGAGCAAGGTGTGTGCGACTTCAGTCATTGCCATGTGTGTGGTAGCCTTGTGTATGCAGAGCCTATGTGTACTGGATTGGATAGTTGCGTTAGATCAATATTTCGTTTAGCTTTCAATTCTGTCGCAGCAGCTGCGCTTAGCTTTCCATTTAGCTTAGCTTTCCTTTCCGCTTAGCTTTCCATTCTGACGGAGCGGAAGGGGTGTCATCGTTCATTGCATCCCGTCCGATCAGCTCCACACCCTTCCCATGAATCGAGTTCACTCAATCAAACTCCGTCCCTACTAATCGCGTTCATCCGACTGACCGACAGTGGCGAGTGCCGGCGGAGGCTCCGGCGATCGCCAGGTGGTCTGCAGACTGGACGAACTTCTGAGGGAGGCGACAGTCCTGTCCCAGCCCAGCCACGAGACGCTGTATATCCTGCACGACCTGCGTGCCAATATCTGCACCAGAATCGGTTAGTTGGGCACTAGGGAACTGCACATCTGGCGTGTTATTAGGTCATGAGAGTTGGAGTGCATGTTATAACCAGGTGTTACTAGTGTAAAGAGAAGTTCAAGGCCTTGAGTTTGACATATTGTATGTGTAGCTTTATTTAATGCGTTTTGCTCAAATGTGCTGTGAATGGATACCTATTCTGCTCAAATGTGCTGTGAATGGATATTCGAAATTAAGCAAATTGGCGTTTTATTTCCTCGCGGTACATATGTACTGGTACCATTACTCTCTTACTGACCTTGCCTGTTGTATTCCAGCTCAGACATTTGTTGCTTTTTGTCTGCCCAAACTTGTCTGAGCCCAACTATTCCTGTATCGGTGGGCCACCCCAACTAACCGCCCGTGTCTCCGCGGCCTGCAGGTGATCCCACGCGGGCTCTGGAGAGTCTGCGGCCAAACCTGGCCAGCGCAGAGGCGCGATACGGCGCCGACAGTGTCGAACTAGGGAACCTGCTCCTGACTACCACCGACGTCCTGGTGCTGGCTGTCCGCGAGGCCCGGACTAAAGAGACGCGCAGGTAGGGCAAAGGTGGTGGTCGCTCCGGGGTGGGGTGGAGGTCCAACGGTCGACACAACGGTCGGGTGGTGCAGAGGAGAGGCAGGGGTAGCTAGGGCTGTCGCAATGAGAGGACTCGACGGTGCTGCTCTCTTGCAGGCTAGTAGTGTGGTAATACGTTTCCTCTAAATGCTCACCACAAACTACGCACTATTTGCCAACCTTATTGTATGCTTTTATGTTTATCTGCAATTACCTGATTCTGCTTTCCCGATATCGTTTCCATTTCTGGATTAACTCCATAACTTTCTATGACAAGCGAACTACGTTGGACAATGGAAAATAATGTGTCTGGGCGGGTGTCCTACTGGTTGTCTGACAGCCCTTGCGTCTGCGTTGTTTTACAGAGAGCTGTCTGACGAGCTGCGGAGACTCGCCGAGAACGGACTGGCCATTTTCACCATCCACTACGGCGAGTGGAGCCCCGCCTACCGGGACCTGCGCCGCAAACTGGCAGAGGTCCGCCGGGAGCAGCCCACCTGAGCCCAGGTAACGGGCAGACAGCCCTCCCTCCGCGCTGCTCGGGCCGAACATATCCGGCCGAGAAATCGGCCAGGCTGGGTCGGATCGGACTCCGACGAGGCCAGACCTGACCTGACAGTTGACACGCTTCATTTAATCCACCGATTGTACTCGCACCGAGTCCTTACTCTGCTTCGGGTCATACCTGCCAGCAAGGAACAGCCCATCGCATGGCGCAGGCAATTCGTCATCTCGCGATACTTTGTGTCTTTCTTTGGAACTTTTGGAGTATGTTTTGAATGTCCGGCGCACACCTTTATCTTCGGGACGCCGTGGGTCCATTGAACATACGGCTGTCAATCGTTGCTGACCGGCAGTCGTGTCACGTTGAAGGGGTTAAAGGCACCGTGATATGACATTGACCAAGCCTTGACCGTGACACGCTGGTGATGTGATCTCGAAATTACCTGCTGGTTACACTTGTGGCGACACAACAGACGACACCTTTCAACTAATTGATGCACTCACCGACCGTCAGCACTGCAATTGGATAATATCTAAGCCAAAATACTGCGTATATAAAGGGCTTTGGGGTGTCACCACGCGGCAGTTTCGCCTCCCTGGCGACCTCGCCGCTCTTTTCATTGAATGGCAGCCCACAGTGCCCCAGCACTCACTACAGGTAAACGGCTCAAGTAGGCGCGCTGACGCGGTGTAGAGCGCTTCGCATCAACACACACTCATTTTCTTTTTCAAATGCTTCAGTCTCCTTCTCGATTGATCTCGGCTGGCTCTGGGAGTGTGTGTGGCTCACGCAGTTTGTTCGTGTGATTCGTGGTCATTCACTAAGAGCCTGCGTATCTAATCAAATCGTTTCATCAACTGGAGGACCAAAAGAGTTCTTTGATGAATGTCTATTTCTTGATTATTCGTCACACAATGCACGTCAATCGTATCGTACGACGCCGGGGCCGTTGCGCCGTCGGAGCCGCGCCTCCGTCGTCGTTTCGCCACGAAGTGCCGAGCCGGCCGGCGGCGGCCGGCCCGGCGCGTTGGGGCCGGTCAGCACACATATGTGCTCCAGATGACCCCGCGGGCCCCAGAGAACCACGTGGACGGCTCGGCTCGGCTATGCCCGCCGCGCGCTGCCGTCGCTCCACGGCATGGTGCGTTTTCTCTCGAACACACTTTCTCTTTGTTTTTCCTTTGTGAGTGAGCGTGATGTCTCGCATCTTGGCAGCACTCAGGTTCTTCCGAAACCGAAATTGCCTGTTCCACTGACAGGCTGTGCTTGTAGCTGAAGTTTGTTGAGACCCAGCAACACAGCCACCTGTGCCTTGAAGAGCACTGCTGTGGCTGTCTCGGCCTGTCGTCGGTATTGTAAATTCCCTCGTACTGTTGGATGAACGGATGTATTCACGCTGGGCTGAACAGTTTCGCGCGTGTCCGCCGCGGTCCGTCGTCGGTGCCGAACTGCTCTGGCGTGCGCGCCCTCTAGCTGCCGAGATACATCACACCTTAATTATGGCAGTGTCGATCTCACGATACCACCATGAACGGCGTGAGCGACGACAAATCATACACAAGGCGCGCGGTATTCTCACTCTTGGGCACCGGCACAAACCTATAGCAGTTCCTCGGTCTACCCGGCAGCAAAACTCCGGCCGACACGAAATCTCTCACCGCCGCACAGCGCCGAGCGCGTCGTCGTCACCCACAGACGCGGCGCCGCCGCCGGCACACGCACTTGTATGTCCGCGCGTTAACCCGCGCCCCGTAGGGGGGGGGGGCCGAAACGGCCCCCCCTGTCCTTTTCGGTCGATATCTCCTAAACGGCTAGAGATATCGCCACCAAACTTTCAGGACCCCTCCGGGCATCAATTTTACACATTGTGACCAAAAATTTTTCCAGAGGCTGTGATAGGTTGGCCACAAATGACGTCAGAGTGACGTCATGTTCTGTCATTTTCGACCGAAAAGAGACCTTCGCGAGAAGACCTGTCAGGCCTACAGCTTTGAAGATACAGAAAAATGATCAAGACATAAAAGGTGTAGAATTGACAGGGCTACAAAACTGCTATCTCGGATTTTTGAAATTTTTGAGTTTTGATCCCCAAAAATCAAAAAAGCATTTTTTTGGATATATTAGCCAAAAAATCCAAAAGGTTTTTTGAGTTTCGAAAAAACCGGAATATATGTGACAGTACCTACCGTCTTCTATCTACATACCAAATTTCAGATCGATACCTCGTTTTTTGGCCAAGTTATAGCGAAAAAACTGTTCAAAAATGATGACGTCAAATTTTCAAACTCAATTTTTGGCAATTCTAGAAGTCGTAGAGCAAAACAAAGACCACCATTAGACTCCCCGTGACGAGCTGCATCGAATACATACCCATTTTATGCAAAAATATCAACTTTGAAATTTGACCTAATTTGACCTGACCTTGACCTGACCTTCACCAAAACGTGACCTAGGCTGGCCCCAAAGGCTGCCTAACCCACATAATCGCATTTGTCATGTAAAATGGACCATAAAACATGTATCACACGACACATTCATATTGTGACCCCCGGTGACCTGACCTCGCTGTGACCTGACCTGGTATCAGTGACCTCAGATAGCAAAGTATGTGCTTGACGAACAATATACCATCGATGGTTTTCAATAAATTACCAATTTACTCGATTTCACAGCACATTTCTTGAATTGCCTGTGAACGGTGAAAATCTGACCTTTGACCTGACCTGTGACGTCATCGGTTTGACCTAGGTCAATGAAATTTGGTCACAAGGTAGTTCCCGGGTAGGGCTATCAAACGCCGTTTGAATTTTGAAAATCGGCCGGTAACTTTCCGAGATCTTAGGGGGGGGGCCGAAACGGCCCCCCCCCTACGGGTGGTAGGGTCCGCCGGTAGCCCTACGGGGCGCGGGTTAATACACTCTGTTATGTATTTTTATTTAGACGTCCGCCGGGTTTCACTTAAATGCGGCGCACTTAACCCGCGCCCTGGTGTGGGTCTGAGCCACCTTCGCCCTGGTGGGGGGGGGGCCAAAATGACCCCCCCCCGTCTAACTCGAAAACGAAGAGGGCTAGGAAGACGCGTAAAAAAGCAAACGAAAGCCCATAACAAGTACGTTCGAAAGTATTTCGGTCATTTTTTCGCTAAGGTCAATATTGAGGTCGCTAGAGGTCATCATAGGTCAAATTTCAGTGTTTTCGGTGTTGCCGGACATATTCCGCTGTAGCTCGGAAACTAGAAGAGCTAGAGAGCCGCGGAAAAAAGCAATCGATAGCTCTTTTCAAGCTCTTTCGCCAAGGTTCGTCAGATTTGACCTCAGCTCAACGGTTTGGCCTACAGAGGTCATGCAAGGTCAACTTGGCAAATTTCGTTGAAAATGTTTTTAACTATAGCATGCATTCACGAGAAAATAGAGAAACGATTCATGCACCATCGTGCTTGGCTCGTCGAGACGCGTCGAATGATATATAGTTTGACCTCGAAAGGTCATTTTGAAAATTTGACCTCAGGTCAAGGTCATGACCTTACCGAAATAGGTCATGCTGCATATCATTCGATCCGCATTGACGAGACAAACACGATAAACGTCGAACGGAGTCTCTATCTCTATTCAATAACAAGTAAGTGCAGAAAAACCGCTGGTGACCTCTGGTGACCAGGGAGATGACCTAGCGTGACCTCAGCGAGGTCACAAGCAAATGGTTTCACATGGGCTGTGATTTGCTGACCCAAGACACTTCAATAACGAAATATAGGAACAATCACGCCCGATTTAGCTGAAAAACAACTACTTTTCGATTCTCCCATTGACTTATAATGGGGAGCAGCGATGACCTGACCTGACCTTAGGTCACATTTATAAAAAATCCGAGATAGCCATTTTGTAGAGCTGGGTGACATCTTCAAGTACTGTAAATTTTACATCGATCGGATAAAAGCTGTGCCTTTGAGAGAGCTTTGAACTTTTTTAGAGGTGGTGTCAGTTTTGGTGACCTTGTGACCTGACCTGACCTGACCCGAACCCCCCAAAAAAGGACATGATGTAAAAATGTTGAATAAACAGCTATACAAAGTTTCAGGGCGCTAACTCAAGTGGTTTCTGAGTTATCGCTGAAAAACCACAGGGGGGGGGCCAAAATGGCCCCCCCCCCCACCAGGGCGAAGGTTAAGTGAAACCCAGCTAAAACACTGCTACTTTTCGATAGTAACAGACAACTAAGTAAAAATCCATAACATCCTCCCCGGCTTTGGGTGCGGACACCTGAGCAATCCAAACATATAGACGCTGCTCTAACGGATGTGACCTGGCAGAGGGAGGAACACAGGAGGATTTCCATGTTTAACTCGTGACCAGTCGACAAAGACAGGTAAGTGGTACGTGGGTACATTCACGGGTCAAATACCTCCATACCATACAACCGCTGGACGGCTCGGGTCTTCACTTGTCCCCCCCCCCCCCCCCGAGTCCTAAGCTGGGCAGACCAAGCCAGACCGTCCCTGCCCGGAAACAGTTAAGTTACCACCCCGATCATTCACTTCATCCGGGGAAGGCTGTCCTCTCTAATCAGTATTACTGAACCCTGTCTTAACTCACCGTGATCTCTCAACCTACTGAGGGAGGGTCCGCAGGTATTCAGTCTGCCAAACAGACCAAAAGCGGTTCAGTCGTCTCTCCCTCACACGTGCTCTGTCACAAAGCATCTTGGCGTTCACTGCCTCCGGATCCTCGAGCACTATCGACTGGAAGCCTGCGCCTGGTCCCGTCAAAAAATGGGATGGCGTCACCCGTCAGCGGACTGTCACCCTCCAATGAGTCGGTCACCGGAGTGAGCGGTCGGGAATTGATGCAGGCCTCAACCTCACCCGACAGTGTCGCCAGCCGACAGTCGAGTAGCAGCGCGGTATCCGCAGCTGCTTCAGGAAATCAACACCTCACAGCTAATCTGAAAAGATCTGACTACGGTCTGCCGGGATGACCTGATCCCAGGCGAGCCCCAGTTGCCAAAGCTCTTGGAACAGACTCTTGGCCACTGCCCACTATACGGAGCCACAAACCCCAGCGGGTCGAAAAGCCGAGCTATACAACTGGGCGCCACACGTTTGGTCGGCGTTACATCAGCGGAGACGGTGAGGCCCTCGTACGAGAACACGTCCTCACCGCTGCGCCACATGACCCCCAGAACCTTAGCGCTGTCACGCTCGCCTGAGCCGTTAGCGGCGTGAGTCTTGTCAATACAACGGCGCTGTTAGAGACACACTTTGTCAGAGTCATTCTCGCTCCAGCCATCATGCCCTGGGCCTGACTAAGCAGCGAGCTGGCCTGGCCTCCTCCCGGGTTTCGGCACCAAAACACTCCTCAGCCGAGGATAGCCAGAGTATAGGGCGGCATTGACCCGCGTCGCCAGTGGCGGCCGCACCCGGGACGCACCACCCACAGGCCGACGACGCTCGGCAACATGATCGAACGGCGACGCGAGCACGTCCGCAGTGACGGCATCCCCTGCACGGGCGCACCGCCGCCGCACCCCACCGCCGACCCGCCGCCAGCTCCAACCAGCTGTTCAGTCAGCAGCCGGCAGGCTTCTTCTTTCTATCACCATTGACGATCTGATAGTATGGGTCAGGAAGTCTTCTTCCGTATACGGTGAGCTTCTCCTTATATCGCAGCTAGTCTACTTCACAGATAGGCTCGATGCCATGCCCTTGAACAGCCATAATGCCTTTTAGCAAGGCGATATCCATTCCAAACACCACCGAAAAATACTCAGTCCTCAGCTCACACCAAACTTGCGATTCTCGCCCTTGACCTTACGACGCCTGTCGCTATCACTCTACTTTTTTAATACAATTATGGTGCAGCGTGCGTCACGATTGCCTCCTTTAATGACGTATTCTATTAACACTTCAACGGAGGGCTCCTTTCCACCGCTGGAGGCATGTTGAGCCCAGCTTCCTTGCTGATTGCGGCCGCCATGGTGCTGAGCTTAGCTCAACCTTCTTTTTGAATTGACAGTTCCTTTCGCATGCCCTACTGGTGCAGCTCTTTTCTGTCCGGCCCATTATCACTGCCATTTGGATCTTGAACAGAGTGGCAGCGGCATGACTGCACACTTCACCAAGGCCTGCTTTGCAGGAGCGGTGCGCAGCCCTAACGGACCTGTCATCAGTATAGAACACCCAAATAAATATTTCACACTGGCCTTCTGACTCGCCCTTACTAGTGACACGAAATCTTTGTCGGTATGAACCATGTCACGATTTTCGTCACCGCCTGGACCTTCATGTTGAACACATACTGCGCAAGCGCAAACTGTAAGAGGGCCTGACGGAGACTGCGCACCGTCACCACCGTTGCTCCGTCGAAGGTAACGGCGGTAACGGTAACGGCGGTACGGTAACGGCGTACCCATCGTCGTCTTCGAAAATCCTCCTCCCTCCGCATCACGCAGCAGAACCGTCGATCGGAGGATTCGGACGAGTGAACGCGCGGTCTCCCGGGTTTCACGCCGGGAGGCAGAGTCCCATAAAGGCGGTACGCCTCATCTCCTACGCAGTGGAGGAGCACAGCACGCTGACGGGCAGGGCTGAAGGCG